AAACAGATAAAGAAGAGTTTTCCATMTCCATTAAGTGTTCTGTACAGCTGCGTAGAAAAGGTGAGGGAGTTCCTACTGCCAACAACATTTATCAGAGATGCTCTCCTTCACCACTGAAGCAAGATGAGGCTTCATTTCACACGCCTTTGCAGCTCCATCTGCTGCAAGCCACCACTCAAGAAACGCCATGGACCGTCTGACTTCCTAAAATACTTTTCTACATCTTTGAAAAGCTCAAGCACTGGAATGGCAACACTGAGCAGGTACTCCAACAAAACCTGTACATCTTTTTGGCACACAGAGTCTGAGTCCAAAAGAAAGGCAGCTCTGCAGGGGTGTAATTTGGGGAAAACAAAACATATTCTGGGGACACATGCAAACAATTTGGAGTCTAGTGTAAACAGCTGTTTTAAAAGAGTCACAATTAYCACATTACTCTACTTTTTGATTTCTTCTTCACCCCACTCTAAGGCCCAATTTTCCATGATAAATTAAAAAAAAAAATTTAAGTATTTTTTATCTGAAATACATAAGGAGAAAAGGAGAAAATGAATACCACCAAATTCTGCAAAGTATGACCATTGATTAAAAAGCTGTCTTTCATAGAAACAGGCATTTGGAAATAAGGATGTTACCTCACTGTCCCCTGATCCCCATCTTTCTCCTCAGCTCTGTCTCCATCCTGGTGAATCTTCATTTTTTTTCTGTGATAATAGTACTAATCTGAATACTGTTTTATGACCTCTTTCCCCCTCCTAATAACAGTGTGGCTGACTCCGGGAAACCCAGGGTCCATGCACAGTGAAATTCTAYCTGTGTTCCGGGGATTTGTTCTAGTCACATGTGGAAATGGATTTTTCTGTCCTGGGTGCAGAGACACAGAGATAAGGGCTCCRTCAAGCCTTGTGCTGCACAAAAGGTTTTATTCCCGTCACGTAGAGATTAGAGCTGCAAGACTAGAAAAGGCTGCAGTGATTCCAGCAGCATTCTGCAAATGTTTGATCATAGTCATCAAAGACATGGAGAGCCCATTCTGCCAGGTGCTGAAATATTTCATATGTACATGTCAGAGTGCTGAAAGCAAATATGGAAAGGCATATGCATATGATATATATCCATGCTTACATAAATGTTGATGTGACTGCATGTGTGTGTGGGTACATGTGACTATATATATTCATGTATGTGGATGCGTTTAATTTATGTTTATTTACTCCTATGTAAGACCATATGTGGCCACCCACAGATGCATGCACCTAGACATGCTGCTACCTCTCAGCCTAAGCACGTATACAACAACACAGCAYGTTCCTCCCCCCTGCTGAAGGCGTATGCTCAAACAGGGAACTGACAACTTGACCTTSCAAGCAACTCTCCCCATGCTCAGATCCACCATAAATGTACACCCAAGTCCATTCATGCCTGCCCAGTATTGGCATCAGGCAGCTTCAGATCCGCTCAGCTTAAGCCTTCACCTCAGCTCTGCTGGAATGAAATCAGCAGATCATGGAACAGTGATAGAGGAGAGGCTGCAGTGGCTGCAGAGGAGAGTGTGTTTTCAGGCTGTTAGCAACACAGTCCACATCTGATGTCATTTGAAGCTATTATCAGTGAGCAACTGTATCTGCAATCTGCAGGGAAACAGCGGCTCAGTTCAGRCTGAGAAATGTCCAGGCCACGTTCTGCTTTAGCTACATATGGCAGTGTGGAAGAAGGAGCTGTGAGGGGGGGGACAGGAAGCAGTTAATCTGTTGTTGAAGTAGGGAAGCCAGTACATAAAAGAGGCAGGGAGATACGAGAAAGGGAAACACCCTTCCAAAGATGTTCCCGGCTCTCCGGAGGATGCAACAGAGAACTGAAATGCTTTATCTGCTTGAACAAGTGGAAAATATGCAAATATTTGCTCATGAAACTTGCTGTTCTTTGCCYTCCCAAGCATGAAATATGCAAACGCCACGCAGAAGGCAGCCAGCTCACCCAGACCTCACACTCTGCACGTCATGCACAGACACACACACACATACCCAGCACGTCAATGCAGCCAAAGATATGCGCCTCGTCTGCAGCACATCCTTCTATGCATGACAAACAGGGATGTGTGGGAAGGGAATCTATATGCCTTGACTCACATACAGTGTATACAAAGAAATTTCAAATTATGCCCCCTCAGCATTTCATTTAGAGGTCTTTAACCAGAGCTTCAGTGAAGCTGGGGGACGGGAGGTTGCAGAGGGGGATGAAAAAGCTTATCCGTAACCAGTTGACTTCTTGCGCTGAGCCACAGGTACCATCCGTTGGGATTAGCGGTGTTGGCACAGGCAGCCTCCTGCAACCAAGCACCAAGCACAGGGTGCCCCCAGTTTGCAAGCAGTGCCTCGCCAAGGGCCCGGCACAACCCAGGGCKCTGCGGCACCCAGGCACCCTGCACTGCGCTGATTTTCCTGCAGGGGGGACTCGGCACCCACCGTGGCCGCAGCCCCGCATCTGCGTCCTGCCATCCCCGGCACCGAGCAAGCTCCTCCTGCTCCGCAGGCACATGGAAGGGAGCTGGGGGCGGGCAGACCTCTAGCTGCAAAACTGCAGCAAACTCGTGAGCATATAGACATGTGTTTCCATTCCCTGGGGTTGAGGCATTTCTCCGTCCAGCATCAAAGGTCCATGAATGCTCCCCAATACTCCTACACACAAAATCACAGAATGGTTGAGGTTGGAGATCATCTGGCCCTCTGGAGATCATCTGGCCCAACCCCCTTGCTCAAGCAGCATCACCTAGAGTACSTGGCTGTTTACTGGCTGCAGGAATATGGAATACTGCCAGGCCTTTGTAGCTTTTTCCCTCTCTCTACCATCTCTGTCTTCTTGGAAATTCTGTGTATTTCATGCAAATGCATGGAGCTGGAGAACCCCTACAGAGCTACAGAGTGTTATGCTTTCAGAAGCATCATGGCTACCACATGGACATGGTCCATTTTCAGAAGAAGTGTGTTGCGGAAAGCACTGAGCTTTGCTGCACCGGTGTCAAAAAATGCCTATGCTTTGTAACTTGAGGCCAGGGTGATGAACATGCCCATTTGATTGTGCTAGATAAAATGCACAGACAACGTGGCAGTGCTCTGCCCTGCTGAAGGAGTTTAGGACCAGAACGTGGACAGCATTATCAGTTGATGGTGGGACGTCTGTGCCCCAGGCCCATAGAAGCCAGAATGGATCCATTAGCTGGACCTATCCATCACTAGCCCCAAAGTTTCTGTGAATTCTTAAACATTGATTCCCTCTATCTTGCTGTAGAGATCTTGTTTGCTTGGTGAGAAAGCTTGAGCTCTTGTTCCAACCACAGCCCGCCTTTCATAACAGCCCTTATGAGAGCTGAGATGTCCCAAGTAGTGCTGTACTGTTGAAAATAGCTATGCGCTCCCAGGACAGGGCATGGGGGTATGTTTGGGAGGGGACAACACAGAGGTAGAAACTTGCTGATCTAAATCATGTTAGATGGAAGTAGGAGGTCATATTCATTTAAAAGCAGATGTTTAGGGAAATGGGACAGAAGAAGGGCACAGACTTGGCTGGTGGTGATTCTTAAGAACTACTTTAAACATACCGTAAAATCACCTGATATCTCCTACCAAACCCAGATGTTAGGCCTAGRTGCGCAGAAGGTAATTAAGTCTCACTGGTTGCAGTAGGGTTAGCACTTGAAGACACGTCAGAGTTTTGGTGGATACTTTCCTTGGTGCATGGGGAGGGGTCTTGTATGCATGTTCACAAGGTCAGAGTAAGGGGTGGTAGATCGAAAGCTGAAGCTRGGAAGGCTACCTACCAGTGGAGGCTTGAGTTCAGAGAAAGGGCTAGCCTGGATAATAAACCCTTAGCTGCAGCACATCAACTGACACAAGTCTCTGAAATAAAATCCATCTGTGTCTAAAAGACATGTGAGATTTTGGACTAACTCAGTGCTAGAGACTATCAGGTCTAGAAACAGCTTTGACCTAGCTGTGAGCACGGGTAAACTGCTCTTCCAGCTGCCACTCCGCCACGTGGCATTATGCAGTGCATAGCAAAAAAATGTCAGGGCCAGTTTTGCCAGGCCCTGATCTCTGTGTGAAAAACTCCAGACCATCAGGCTGACAGAACAGCCTGCAGCAAAAAAAGACATTGTTGGCAGAAATACCCTTAAATTCTGCGGCAGCCTTCACAGAGCCAAGGAATTGGATGTTCCTGGTTGATCCAAGCCCCACATGGGCGGAAGCTGTGAGTGAAATGTAGCCACTCTACTGGCTTTCAACGGGCCTGAGCTCTCTCAGAGGTATACGGGACAGTCTTAACCAGCCCCTTCAGTAATTCTGTATAGTGCTGGCAGTCTGGGTAGCAAGGATTGGCGGTGGCACAATCCTCATACATGGATGGCCTTGGAGAGCACAGATTTGAAAAGATATTTTTCCTTAACCCCCTACTCTCCAATTTGGCTTGAATATAAAACAGATAGAGCAAAGGGACTCCTGCTGTTACCAGATAAGTTTGGGGCATCCCAAAATGTAGAAGCATGAACATTCACTGCCACTTTTCAACAGCTCAAGCCCTCCTTCCTATTTGCATGTGGGAACACTAGGGAAGTGCTCGTGGACAGCACTCAGCCAAGGTCAAGCAGTAATGGAGAAGAGGAGAGCCCAGAGGAATACTGCCTGTTTGTTCCCAGCGCCGAACACTTGACAACTCATGCACTCTCTCCTTTCAAGGGTAGCAATGGCAGTAGCCAAAAGCATGAACTTTGCTTCCAGAAGGAATCAGCTGTTGAGCTGAACAAATCATGATCCGGTGCGGGGGGGAGCAGGAGGGAGGGGAGCGAGAGCCAAGCCTGACACAGGCCAGAGCATGGGGGAGGTACTCAGAAAGGCCTCCAAAGCAGGATGGAAAAGACAGTAATTACATAACAACACTTGGCGAGCAGCTGGCTATAGTCAGCTGGGCCCCGCGAGCCCTCCCTCCCCACGGTGCTGACAAGGAGCAGCTGAGGATACGTGTAACTCAGCGCAGGACCCCTCTGGAGGGGTGCGGAGGTAAGAGGCCCTCCATTTCCTCTTTCTGTTTGCACCTCTCTGGGAGTTTCATGACGGAGGGGTGGGAAAGGGGGGAAGGCGGAAGCGGCTCTRACAGAGAACGAGCAGCCAGGAATGAGAAACAAGGGGCTGTTTTCCTGCCTCTCTGGATGTGGACAACACCTTTGTYTGGGAGGAAGTGCCCAGGCTTTGCTAGGGGAGGAGCTGTGAAGGGCGAGCTTGTGGGTGGTTTGGGGGTGGATTTGAGTATGTATAGCAGATCAGGGTGTCCCTATGGGTGCAAGGGGAGCTGTATGCATACATACAGAAGGGGAGGAAACAGCAAGGGAATTTCCTTCCTTCTCTGTGCGTGGTGGAAGAGGGTTATGGGGCACAAGGAGCCACTGAGGGGAACCAAGCTTTATCCCACTGCTTTGCCCGTATGTTTGGGAGGGGAGTGAGGGCATGCAGGAAAGGGAAGGAAATATAGGAGGAGGAAGTAGCTGCTTTTGAGCAGGGATTGCAGGAGTCTGATCTGGCCACTGGTTGCTTGGGCTGCCTCCAAGGCAGAGTTTGTGTGATCAGAGAGGAGAGCGCTGAGTACACAAGGTGCCTGCAGGCTTGGGTTATACTTAGAAGTGTGGCTGTCACAGCAAAGCTGAACAGCATACTCAAAGCCTGTGTCCCCCAGCAGTTGGCCAGACAAGCCAAAGCCACCTGCAAATGTGGTACACTGCAAAACATTGCTGGTATGGCTCATTCCCTTCAGGGAACTTAGCAATATTACCCTGGCAAAAGTGCTTTTATTGGTGTAAACTGTTGCCCAGATGGACAGTGCCAGAAGTCTTCATACTCTGGTTCCCAGAGGAACCTTGTTCAGCTTGTATGACGCATTCAGAACAAAGCCTTACCCTGGCTCTGGATTGTGGTCGCYGTCAGATGGGAAAAAGGCAAAGGCCATTGAAGTACTGGGCAACAAATGTTTGCATGAGTGTCATCTCCTCAAGMTCAGGGCTGAAATGAGGACAACTACCTTCCCTGCCACCTATTCTCCTTTGAAAAAATTGGTGCAGCCAGAGATAAAGCACAGAGCTTTGGAAGGTGGATACAAAAGAAATATGATGCTTGGAGGTAAACCATAATCTCTGAGACGAGGCACTACAATAGCTTGATGGGGCAGAGATGAGCTCTGTTGACAGTATGAGAGTTTCTGAGTTTTCTGTACCCAGATAATTTACTAGGCAGTAGCAAGAGCAATGACAGATGATGAAATCCTCACCAGCAGCAGGCAAAAGTAGATAATACCATCGATCATGAAAAACTGCTTCTCTATTTTGGAAAGGTTAGCAGGAAGCGTTGCCCTAACCCATCCTCCTTTCCTTCTTATTTTCCAAACAGGGAAACTGAGGCATAGGGCATGTATGAGACTTGCTTTGGGCTATATTGTGTGTCAGTGCTGGAGCCCTCTTGGGAACTCATGAGTGCTGCAGTGAATTTCATGGGCCTCTCCCAGCTCCAGCTGGGAGGCATGTTCACTCCATGTTCATTGAACTGCAGGCTCACAGGCAGCCTGAGAATATCTCCAGGCCTCCCAACCCCCATTTCTCCCTTTCCCTATGTGTTCACAGCACATATTTTCCCAGACTTTTCCRCTCACTTCTCCAGTGTTGCTGGGGTCCTGCCAAGCGCCAACCACTCTGGGAAGCAGGGAGAAAGAGAAGGGGGAAAAAAAAAAATCAAGCACGTATACACAGACACAAAAAAAACCATTTTTTCCCTCAGGAATTTAACAGCCGTCTCTAGCTTCCTTCTGAACATACTGGAGACACAGTGCTGAGTTGGCACTTCTGGCGTCCATATAAGAGAACTATGGCTAGCCCAGCCTCCCCTCTGCCTCCCAAAGACAAAAGTACACCCCCAAAGAGTATAGGTTCTCAAATCAGKTTTTTTTGCAGCATAATACTCCCCAAACCCTCTTCACACTTGCAGTGTGAGGAATGTCCCCTGGTTCCCCCCACGCTGTTCCTCCATACAAAATGCCATCTATTCTTAGATTCCAGCATCACCATATATCCCTGGCCCTGATGAGACACAAGTAGCTTGACTTGGCAGCAGGCTGGGATGAAGACCATGGTCATAGTTTGCTTTAGAGCCTCGGCTTTACTGGAAGGCAATTCCCTGCAGTGAGGCTGAGTTCCAGGCCAGGCACACTCCTCCAGGGAGGTAACTGGGGGTTGAAGCACGCCAAAGTGCAAGGGTTGCAGCTCTGCCCAGGGAGGGAGGGAGAAGACAGAGAAGGGAAGAGCTGATGGCTCTCCCATCTGTCAGGAAAGCCTGCAAAAAATACCATGTCTGGGAAAAAAAAAAAGAAAAAAAAAAAGGGCATGGGACACACAAAAGAAATTTTGCAGAAGTGAATGAAAGATGAAATCACAGAAGCCTAGGGATAATGACTGGAACTGATGGAAAGAGAACAAAGGAAACTAAATGAGGGGCAAGAGACACAACACAGGGAACTACCAGTGAGGCCAGTGTCCCAGATCACCTGAAAGAAGTACCGTCTCCTGCCCCTTACACCCCACCTTACCCATCCTGACATGTTCAGTCTAAGGCACAACCATGTTGCTTGCCTGCCTCCTGCACAGAGTGCAGTCTGTTCTGCATGAATTTTGTTGCCCAGAGCTAGACTGTTCAGAAGGAAAAGGGAAGACTGAATATATATAAAGAAAAGGAACTCCCTAGGAAAGAGTTAAAAGGCACTGAAACCCAAGCCGTTTTCAATGGAGTGCGCCCAAAGCCAGGGAAGGAGAAGGGAGGGAGAGGAGAGGGGAGGGAGCAGGTCCAAGCTGAGCTTGTGCACCCAGCCAGCACTCAGCAGTTCCTGTGCCAAGAGTCAGCTCTCTCTTAAAGCCATGGGCCTGGGGGCCGGCTCTGTAGGCGGAGGGGAGCCAGCGAGCAGGGGCTGGCGAACACACAGGGGAGCCCCTCAGCCTCCAGGGTGAGCTGCCACATTGCACGGGGGTGCAGGCAAAGGGAAGTGGGGGGCAGAGGCTGGGAGAGGGGCGCTCTGGGCTTGTTTACGTGTCTGTCTCTCCTACACATACTTCTCTGCATTCTGCCTGCTGTGCTCTTAGCTTCCTTCCCCCTCCACAGCAGAGCGACTGCCCTCTGTTTTTTTTCTCCAAAGGCCCGGCGTTACTCGCTGTTTGACAGTTCCTTTGGGGAAGGTGCTGCGGATTGATTCTGCTCCTGAGACAGAAAGAAAAAARGAAACTCACCCTGGGTGGGGGGGACTGAAATACAGAGAGAGAAATGATTTGGTTGTGGGGAAATGAGGAGGTTGAAGTTAGTTTTCTATCTCACAGCGGAAGGGARCTCTCTGCAGAGAGGTCAGACCCCAGCTGGAGGGGTTGGATTAACTCCTATGAAGAGCTGATATGAAATGTTTGAAGGTCCCGATGTGTTTTTCACAGTCCTCCCCACAGATTCAACAACCAATCAGAATATTTTTGTTAAAAAGGACTGTGTGGCTTGCCATCTCTCCTTCTTCTGTCCCAATATGAGGCCTGAATCTCGAGATGGCTCCAGTGGTCTGCCTGATGGCAGGCTTTGAGGATCAAGCCTTCTTCCAGAGTCGACATTTAGTCTCCGTTGGTCTAGACTAAAGAGTGTGGAATATCCTCTTGGGCTATGTGGTTGCTGATCAGATTGCAACCTTGAAGCTTTGGGGAAATCAAGCACGCAACTGCCTCCACAAGGGAGGGAGTTGTCCACAAGTCAATGCCATTTTCATCCCACCATGGCCTTCAGCTGCCAAGAAATGTTTTTCCTTGTAACTTCCTTCTATTTTCCCAGGTCACCATGGAAATAATTTGCCTGCACACATCCTTGGCCTTCCTTGTCCTCCCTCTTATTGTGCTTGGGGCACCCACTGATGAGCCCAGCCTCACAGAACCAAGTCCAGGTGCTTGCAAGCGCTGTTGTGATCCACTGGAATCCTCTGCAGAAGCCCCACCACTCTCTCCCAGTCACCACCACTTGCCCTACCCAATGCCAGAGGTCCGTCCATATATCAACATCACCATACTGAAGGGTAAGTGCTGTGCTAAGGATGAGCGGCACTGTGCTGGGTTGCTGGCATCCTAGTTAACCTGACAGACTGCCAGATTCCATCCTGAAGGGTATGTCAATACACACTTTGCCAAGGGCCCAGTGATTTTGTGCCATGACCAAGTGTAGCCTGGGGGAGGAAAAGAGTGCACATCTTTGCTGTGACTTCTGTGTCTCAGGAAGGTGTTTGCCACCAGCTCTTCCTCCTTGCTAGCAGAGAAGTTGCAGTGGAGTCCTCTTGCCAGGTTGGCAGGCTGCTTTCCTTGCTTCAGACTTCCAGTATGTAATGACTAAAGGAAGGAATAGCCTCTACTGAGCTAAAAAGTATGCAGGCTTGGAGGGAAGGAAGTGGTTCCAGGTATGACTATGGGGAAGCCTTCTCTGACTTCACAGGTCACGTGCACCTGTGGGAAGGAGGGGAACAAGAAAAGGCAGCAGATATTTGGATGTACTACCAGGCTAACTGGCAGTGACACCCAGCTTGTTCCACCCTGTGTCTGGTTTGGCTCAAGGGAAAATGCTCCCTATTTTAGATCAGCTCCTCCTTTGAGTTTCCACATTCTTTCTGCCTTTGCTGTGGGCAAAGTCTGTTTCCAGCAGGACCCCACACCACTCAATCACTCTGTGGTTCCTCTGGACTGGCTGGGCAGATGTTCCCCCTTTCTCATGCCATCCTGGAAATAGCTGCAATTTATCAAAGCTCAGAAATGCATTCAGGGGCAGATGGAGGCCTAGTGTAGGATGGGGTGGTGCAGGGGGAACTGTGCACCAGCAGCTTTACAAAGCCGTGCAAAGGAAGAAGGGCAGAAGGGCAATCAAGCACAAATTCGGGATGCTGTCACTTGTGCTGGAGGCTGTTYTGATCTCTGTCTCCTTTCTACACATAAAGTACATTCTTGTGCTGTTCTCTGTCTGTACTGCTACCTGCCCTTAATATAGACACATAACAGCCAATGCACCAACTCCAAGGTAGAATTGCAGTATTATATATACAAGGGGAACAAATGGTGCTGGTTTTGTCATACTACCAAACTTCTAACCTGAACTTCACCATCTGCCAAGTCTAGCTTATGTATTCTCTCTCTGACCTCGCTCTTTGTMATTCTCTACTTATATTTGTCCATAGACCTCAGTGCTTTCCCCCCTTCCCAACCTACAAGAAGAACTGTGTTCCCACTAATTGGATAACTATGTCATGGGAGATGTGTATAGGAGGATAGGACTTGGGGTGGGCATAAGGGAATGTGGAGGAGGAGAAGAGTCCAAGAGCTCCAATAGTGCTTTACAGTGGATGCTCTGTTTCGAAGTGGAATTACCTAGGGAGGGGTTCATTGTTCCTCTGAAAATATTGTATCGTGGTCAGCAGGAGGTTAGCAAGAAAAGAGCCCCTAGTCATACCCAAAGCTCCTTCCCATGACTCTCTTCCCATAAGATACAATGTTATTATGACCCTTAGGAGCGTTCCTTCTTCTGGCATTGACCCATYCTTGAGCAATTCTCTATCTCTGTTGTGCAGTCTCACTGCCACTTCCACTTTTTCTGGTAATACATGGGGAATATGTTCTCTGCTTTCTCTTATAGGAGACAAAGGAGACCGAGGAGAGCCTGGACTGCCAGGAAAATGGGGCAAAGAAGGGCCACGAGGTGAGCGGGGTGCCCAAGGCCAGAAAGGCAGCAAAGGACAGATGGGCACAGCAGGGGACCCCTGCAAGCATCAGTATGCTGCATTCTCCGTGGGTCGCAAGAAGGCACTGCATAGCAGYGAGGGCTACCAGGTCTTGATCTTTGACACAGTCTTTGTCAACCTCTACAGCCACTTTGACATGTTCAATGGCAAGTTCTACTGCTATGTAGGAGGTTTTTACTACTTCAGTCTCAACGTCCACACCTGGAACTTCAAGGAGACCTATATGCACATCATGCACAATGAGGAAGAGGCAGTCATCTTGTATGCCCAGCCCAGTGACCGCAGCATCATGCAGAGCCAGAGCCTCATGCTGGAGCTGCAGGAAAACGATGAGGTCTGGGTGCGGCTCTACAAGCGGGAGCGGGAAAATGCCATTTACAGTGATGATGTTGATGTGTACATCACCTTCAGCGGGTACCTGGTCAAACCCAGCCTTGACTAACTGCCCTTTGCTGCCCCCTGGGCCTCTTTGGGCTTTTTCTTCTTCCTCTCACTCTCTCTTTACCGCCCACAGTCACTGCAAACCACTTGGAAATGGGCCTGTCAAGTCTCAGGCACTGAGTATGAGACTTGCCACACTGGCTACCACCTCATGCTCCCTTCTCTCTTGCAGCAAGGCCTATATCTGTGCATTGCTGTCTCTTACTCCCTTGCCTCATTACCACATCTGAGTTTATTGGTTTGTTCTATAAACTGCCAGCAAGCTGTAGCTGGCACATGGGATCCTGGAGCAGGAGGGATACTAAATGCAGTTCCTAGGAATGGTCCCTCTTTGGAATTTCATGCGCAAAGAACTACTTTAGAAAGGGTTAGAAAGTTTCCACTGCTTAGGTGTATCAGGATTCTTTATCCTGGTTGGATGTGTTAGTTTTGCAGCCTGCAACATGATTCTACTGTCAGCTCTCCTGCGTGTAAACAGACTGGAGTCTGTTTCCCCCTGTAGCATGAAGAAAATGTAGGTCTGGTGGAAGATACATATTATCTTTCCAAACAGGGGACAGACGACCTTCCAAAGTATGTAATTGACTCACTTTAGACACCATTTTGCATCACAGAGTCTTCAGGTTACAGCACAGAATTCTGGGTTTTGTGGCCCTTCCCCAGCTTAGATTGGATATAAGATTTAGGCCTGGTAGAATAGTCTTCTGCTATGAGGCCTGGAAGGATAGTCTTCTAGCTATCAGTGTCAGATCTAGCTTTTCCATGAGGGAAGGGCAAGACCCTCAGCCAGACCCTGCAGAGGCTTCTGCCCTCTGAATCAGTAGAATCTGCTGCTTTATCATCTTTAAGGATCCTAAGTGCAGAACGAAAGAGTGAGAGGGAACCCATACAAACTTTCCCAAAGCATGGCTCAATTACATTTTCCCAGCTTGGGGAAAGCCTAGCATATCCCTTTCCTAAGAACAGATGGTGCACCAGATTCTGCTGTCCTCTCTGGCGGAAGTGCATCCATGCTTTTCCAGTGATGTCAGCAATTATCGCTAATACCTGCAGATGCGAAGGGAGAATTTGGGCAGGACTGTGGCCCCTATATGCCATCAGATCAATCTTCCTGAAGGTGGTTCTTCTGTGTCACTATAGAAGGACATCTGTTTCAGGACCTATTGCAGTTAAACTATAGTTTTAAAACTTGGACAAGTTTGACACCTTCTTGCCTCTGTGAGGGAAAAGAGGTAGGGGCAAAATGGTATCATGAAAAGAGGTGAGACTTCAGCACCATGCCCCAGTATTAAAAACATCCCTGACATCTCTTCTTTGCCCTTTTCTGGCAACTTCGTCATAATAATTGGGTTAAGTGTGTTGCTAAAACAAATCCTCACACTTTTTGTCAGGTTGGAGAGCTGGCTGGAATGAATGCCAGTAGTAGGATTTGATAGTGAAGGTCTCATGCCGCTTTTGCTCACATTCCTTTCCCGCTCACATTGCTGCAGTCTTGGAGGGGAGCAGATGAGGCCGACTCAGCACTTTGGAAAACCTACTTCCACGTGCTCTGATACTGCTGCAAACAACAGTGCAAGGGAAGGGTTGTCTCTCTTGAGTCTCAGGACAGGACAAGCAGGAGAAACCGTATTTCTCCTCTGCCCATAACTAATAATGAAATCTTCCAACTTAACTAGCTTCTGTTGTCTCATGATTAACCATGGTCTCTACCTATAATATCTGGGACTACCAGAACTCTCCCAACAGAAATATATATCAAATTATTYTACAGGATGAGGTCAGGTACACTCTTCCCAGGATGGCAAAAGCACATAGAAATAGGAAAAATATTAAAAATGAACTTGAGAGAATTGCAGGCCATTTTCTCTCTTGTGGTGATTTCTTATCCTGCCTGCTTTGCTAAGGAAGTTGTACAGACTGGAATGAGTTTCAGAATCTTTGTGTCCCTGATCCTCATCACCATTCTTATTTGGACTGTGGGTATAAATACAAGGTTCATCTGAGGCAGAACTGGGTCTTCCCTGGTGAACCATGTGGTGATAGGATCATGGGAACAGAAGGGGTCTGGGTTTCTTCCTCTCCACTGGCAGATGGGGTATGTGGAATTGCTCAGAGACAATTTTCAGGCAGTAGAGAGGAAGCAACATGCTGGAGGTGATGTTCAGGACCAAATTTATTTATTTCTTCCTGAGCTGCAGGCTACAAACCCAGATATGTATTTACAGTGCGCAGTGCCCCCCTGTCTCCAAGAGCAGAAACAAGCCTTTCTAACACTGAATAATCAACCCAAACTACTCTGTTCCTCCTTTCCCATGTGTTTTTCAAGTGTCAGTGACAAATCTGTGGCTCATGTGCTGCCTACGAGCCAGATGGTGCCTGATGTGCATGGGAGAGGATGGCAGGGGGACCAAAGGATAGGCTTAACAGGTTTCTTGGTGCTAAACAAGATGGCAATCCCTTGGTGCTAAATCAGTTTTGAAGAGTTTTGGGTGCTTTCTGGAAGGTATAGTAGGTTGAGTTGTAATGTACTGTGGAATTAATGGTGCTTCAATGTGACAAAAACATACTCCAAAAACTTTTGTGTGTGTGTGTATATATATATATATTCAATGTTATTAAACCTTTCTTCTTTGTTTTGCACTTTGACTTGCACTTTTTCCTCCTTCCTTCTGGGAAGGATTTAAGAAAATTGAGGGAAAGTTTCTTTAAAATTACCAAAAAATCAGGGAGACAGAATACACTGTAGTACACTCCAAGTATATAAGTAATTTCATTGAGGAAGGCTGGGGTGAGATTGGACATCTTTTGAGAGAGACCAGATCCTTTATCTTCTGAAAAAAAAATGGCACAGCTTTCTTATGGATGCTTAGTAAACAAAATAAGAGTGAGCCTTCCTTGTGGTTTTTTTTTCTTCTGTTTTCTCTATCAAGAGGTAAAGCTAGGAAGCGTAAACTTAGGAGAGTGTGTGGTAGTTCAGGAGTTAAACTGGACACGCTTCCTGGAAAAGTATGTGATGAGAATGGCTTAAGGTTTAGATCAGGTATAAAGCCAAGTAGTGAATGCACATAAATTTGGGAGTATGAGAAGACTTGGTGGTCAGTGGGGAGTGGAGACTTAAGAGTTTTGGTTGGAAGATAAGYGAGTGGGTAAAGTCCTGAGGACAGACAGCAGAACTACTGGAGGTCTCCTTGTAGGACAAAGAGGTAAGTGAGGTTTCACACAAGGTCCTTGAAGTTTGCACTGAGTGAACCAGCACTCCTATTGAAGTGGAGAAGTGGACAAGAAAAGGCCCATATATGGCCTCAATATTCTGAGTCTTACTCATCTTCAAACATCTCCTTTGCTTTGTTGTGTGCCAGATACATATTTGCTAAGCAGTAGAAAGCAAAAACACATTGTCTCTACCCCTCTTTGATCCTGTGTCAGGCCCAGAGCTAAGGAACACATATCTGAGTACATAAATTCCTGAATATCTGATAATTGGGCAGTCTTGAGCCCAACTTCTGCATGCTTTCGATGCTATCTGATCAAGGACATAGAAATATGTTCTGGAGAAGTGCAGTGATTGTGACTGTGTGTGTTCCTGGTCCATTGAGGTGAGATGCTGGTAGATCAGAGGTATTTTTGTCACACTTGCAAGGGATGAAAGGAAATGAGGGAATGGCAGGTGTACCATATAGAGAGGTTTTCTATGATACAGACTTTCAGCCGGCCCTCTTTGAGGGGAAAATGCAAACAGCAGAGGACGTTAGGTCAAATCAWTTGAGTCCAACATGCACAAATCCCTGATAGGGGTCTACAACAAGTGCCACCCATCACACCATGGGGGAGTCACCATGGGTGAAGATCAGCTCAGGTAAGGTGGACCCTGCAATACTGTTAAGCAACAGCACCCCTATCAATATGATCAAAAAAAATGGTCTATGCAGGCATGTTGAGTTTTGACTCAAGGCCCTGTCTGGCATGGAGGAAATGCTGCTGGCTATTGACATTCAGTGTTTTTCATAGTGATGGGCCTAGAGGGGGATCGGTATCTCCACATATTGCTAAGTCACCAAACCTAGTGCTGTCAGTCCACCTCTGTATGTGTCAATACCTCTTGATCTCCAGACACCTCCGGGCCTGTGGATTTTCACACCTGCTTACAGGCATCCACACACTAGAGTTATGGCAGAGTGATGGGAGCCCTCCATATTTCTTGCTTGCCACAGGCATTGGGGACTTTTGCTCTTGGGCCCTTGTTCCTCTTGGAATCCATCAACAGGCATCAACAATGAGTGCTTGCTCTCAAGACTGAACCCTATTGATGCCTGTCTACTGATGCTTGAACTTCCCCAGTGCAAGATGGGTTCCTGAAGCAAAGCTCTGTATGCCTTGGCAGACATTGATGGCACTAGATTTTGAGAGCACTCGCTATCAATCTCCTTTGATAGCTTTGAAGAGGAAAAACATCTCGAGAGACAAAACCACAGATCCCTTTCCTGAGCCAGAGGAGGAGAGAGGGAGGTAGGGWGGTCTCCCTATAGTCACTGGTAACTCCTAACACCAAGTGTAGAGATGCCTTTAAGTAGGTATGGAAATCCACCAGCCTCAATGCCTCTGGATATCAAGAGGTGTCAACATGTATGGAGCAGGATCAAGAGCTCTGAGTGGGGTATCCTAGTCGTATGTTGGCAAATCCAACTGTCAGCACAAAAAAACTGTCAATGTCAATAGTCAGCAGCACTGACTAGTCAGCACAGATGTACTGATACATACTGAGAGGGATTGCTAGCTCTGGGTGTGGTGTCCTAGCAATACATCATCAGCACCTGATACTCCTCAAGGCCCATCACTATGAAAAATGGTCAATGCTAATAGTCCACAGCACTTCCCAAAAGCAGTATGGGTCCCTGAATGARAGGGATGCATGCCTGCAGAGAACAAGTGGATTTGGTGGCTATCAATAGGGTTTAATATCAATATATCAAAGGATGGGCCCCAGCCAATCTCTGCATGCCTGTGCAGAATGAGCAACTTGGGGGGCTATAACTGAGGTTCAACATATTGCTATTAAACCCCACTGATAGGTCCCCAAATCCCATGTTCTCCTCAGACATGCAGAGCTTCAGCTCAGGGATCCCTCTTATTCTAGGGAAGTGTYGCTGACTTTTGACATCGACCATTTTTCATAGTGATGGGCCTTGAGGAGGATCATTTTCCTGATATATCACAGGGCATCACACCCAGAGCTGTGTATCCCTCTCAGTACCTGTTGATACCTCTCAATCTCCAGACCTGTGGTTTTTCATACTTGGTTACTGGAATCCATACAGTACGTGCCAAGAGTTACCAGTGACTGCTGGGAGCCCTCCGTACCTCTCTCAGGCAGATTCTAGTATGCATGCTAGTATGCAGAGTTATGCAGTGCAGGGGCACAGGGAGGCAGGAGCTGGCTCTGCATCTCCTTCAGTCCTGGCCAGACTTTCTTATAGGTATGGCATTAGGGGAAGGGACTCAAGGCCACTATGTAGATTCTGACCCATGTYGTGGGATATTTTGCTAAGAGCACTGTTCCTGAGGCATCCTTTCTGTGATATTGTGCGTTCCCCTTTTTCCAGCTTGCTCTCCCTCCTTCCCTTCCACATAATCCAGGCAGCCTACTTCATTTAACTTTCTGCCTTGCTTATAAACCAGAGGCAGGGCTGGAGCAGGAATAATACAGCACTGCAGCCAGCAGTGCTCATCACAGCAAGCACAGCCTCAGCTGCATATTGCAGCCAGACTCTATCAGTAGCTTAAAGGTACCCCGGTTCCTCTCTTCTGATGCTCCCTATCTTACTGCTGTGCAGGAGCCAGTGTTGGGCCCAATGGGCTAGTTGCAGRCCCTGTCCATGGCTACCTGAGAGAAGGGGTACGAATGCATTACTGAATGTAGGCACCAGGCTGTGAAGATTGCACAGCCCTCCTCTGACCACTGTGAGAAAAGGAACGTTTGCTCAGCCATGCCAGCCTTCAGAGACCAGCGCAAAGCTGTGCCACTATCACGCCCACACGTGTAAACACATWACCCACCGCATATGGACATCTCTCGCCTTCCTCCCAACGGAAACAGATGCCCTTTGCAAGCCTGGCTTGCTCTGAAGATGTTATCAGGAGGTGGGTAAAGGGAGGCTGAGGCAGTAGACCTCCTTTGTACATGTATAGCTCCTTTGCATCACGATGTGCTTTATCCAACCCCCACCCTCTGCATCAGTCCTCTGTGATCTTTCCCCCCTCAGTTATACCACAGTGAGTGGCAGGGCAGAAGATTCAAGGTAAAGGCTTCTGACACCTTCTCAACCTACAGGCCAGTCCTCTCTCTTCAGTGTGTGTCACAACCCACAAATGACCAGAGAATTGCAGAATTTCACACCTTTCTTGCAACTACTAAAATAGGTGGGAGAAGGGAAACTATGAGGAGTAGGGGACTCCTCATATACTGTGGGAAGGCTGAGAATCCAGCTTTTGCTGAGGGACAGCTGAGTGTACACTTTAACCCTTTTGCCTCTGTCCCTTCAGGAAAAACAAGGCTGGCATGCATCAATCTAAAAATGCCAAGGACCTTTGACTGTAAGGAAGCCCAGACAATGCAAATTTCAGTACATGAAGGAGCTGGGAGATGTGCCCAAGCCTCACAGGTTGTTCCTGATGTTAGTAGCAATGCCTCAAAGAAGATGGGAAAGGGAATGCCCCAGCAAAACAAAAGAGGACAACAAGCCCGTCTCACTGACACCCATCTTGCATTTTTTTACATTTTCTGTGTACCAGTCTTTAAGGTCCTGCCTGAACTCCAGATGTTTGCCATACCAATGTCTTCATGCAAGGCTAACCTTAGAAGCAACAGTGCAGGAATTTTCTATTGCTCAGTCCTTCTCCATTCTCATTTACATAAGGCTCCATGGCAATGGAAGAGCAAAGTGACAGCAGAGGAGGCTCCTTTCGACTTAGCTATAAAAAAGAAAAGGCATGCATGTTTCATCAGGTGAGTAGCACTCACTGCATTCTTCTGTTCAGTCCACAYTTACATTTCTAGGCTTATGGCATTTTCTCATTTGCCATTTTTTTTCCACCTGTCCTTGATTCTACTTTTAAAGAAGTGGAATTGAACAGACCCAAGCAACAAAGCCATGTCTCCTATAACCTTATGCAGCAATTTAGTAGATCTTTTGGTCCTAGGGCCCACAGATATGCYGCTCCACACATACTCCAAAATGTCACCCACACCTTCACTTCACACTGACTTCCACCTCTCTCTCCATGTGGTACTTGACCTCATTGTGTGACTCTTAG